CCTGACCACGCGACAGCGTGGCCATCCCGCCACAGCCCCGGGCACCTCATTAGACGCGCGGCCCAGATCCCCAAGCCCCGCCGCGCAGACGGTTTCGAAGACGAAGGAAACACTTACCGGACTCCGACTTCCTCAATGAACACGGTGGGGCTCACGCTCCCGTTCCATTTTGTAGAGCGCGCCACTCGCGAGGACCCCCCCCCCCCCCCCCGCAACAGCATTTGCTTCCTTTACTGAGATTTATTTAATCGAGGATGGGGGGCAGGGGTAGGGCATTCAATGAGGGGGAGGAATAGTCAGGATCTTTAGAATCCTCCGGAAAGTCGGGACATAATACGTTGCCCCCGTAGGCGGAGAACACAAACCGAGGAAATACCGCCGCCTGTTGTCCTGTCAGGATCGTCAGGCACATCGGTGGACGGACCCAAAGGAGGATCCGGAAAAGGAAGGACCCCGAGTGGGGGCGTGGCCGAAAAGGGAAAACTGGCGGTGCCCGCGCCACAGCCCTGGCGGAAGGGGCGGGGCCGACCCCCGACGTATTCCCAGCGGCAGAGTGGGAGGCGGGGCCAGAGCTGAGATTGACAGGGGGTAGTTCTGGGAGAGCGCCCACCGGACGCGGAGTTAGAGCCTTAGCCCCGGCTCTGGTTCGGGGCCGGAAGGTGCAGGAAGGTGCGGGAGGCGGAGAGGCGGGGAGAGGGGGCCCGGCTGGGGTCCTGGACTCCGGGTCCGAGGGAGGAGGACGGGGACAGGACTCTGGGGATGAGGCAGGACCGGGTTTGGGGCTCGTTCCCCGGTTTTTAGATCGCCAAAGACCTGGGGGCGGGGTTTCATGGTAGGTTGGCGATCTAAGGCGTGTCTTTCAACAGACATGATGGTAAAACGTTTTTGTTTTTTTTATATTTTATAAATTTTTTACAGCGAGGAAGGGAGAGGAATAGAGAGTTAGAAACATCAATCAGCTGTCTCCTGCACACCCCCCACTGGGGATGTGCCTGTAACCAAGGTATGTTTTGTTTTGTTTTTTTTGTTTTGTTTTGTTTTTCAAAGATGAAAAAGGAAACTTTAATATAACAACCCGCACACCGGAGGTCGCTGTGGTCAACAGTTTGGTGCGGACTCTTTATGGCTCACACACACGCACACACAACACTCATGTACACACACATATACACACACACACGCACACACGTGTGAATAGAACACATGTTGTTTAGCTGGTTCCCCTCGTCATCTGGGTTTTTTTTCCTTTTTTCTGGCTGGGAGATTCCTCCGCGAAGTCTGTAGTCCGTAGTCCGAAGTGAAAGGAAGAGACTCGAACTCCTCTCTTAGGAAAAACAAGGCGTTTCCTATCCCAGTGGTTCTCAACCTTGGCTGCACATTAGAATCACCTGGGAATCTTTTTAAAATCCTGATTTGTGGGCCTCATCCTCTGGAAATTCTGTTTCTTTGAGGCCACAACATTAGTAACAAAGAAACAGAATTTTCAGAGGATGAGGCCCAGAAATCAGGATTTTAAAAAAGATTCCCAGGTGATTGTAATGTGCAGCCAAGGTTGAGAACCACTGTGACCTACCCAGACCTCATGCTGAGTGAAGCCAGGGCTTCCCTGTGGCCACAAGGCTGGGAGTGAGGTGCCCTGGTCCCCGCTGCGCCCACCTCCTCCCTCCCCTCCCTTGCCCAGGCCCCCAAGGGCACGCTGGTTCCCCGGGCCTTCTTAGGACCTGCCAAACACACAGTTGCACCCCAGGACCTTTGCATTTGCTGTTCCCTCTGCCTGGAAGTCTCTCTCTCTCTCTCTCTCTCTCCCTCCCCCCTCCACCTCCTTTCCACTTTCTCTCTCTGAAAAGCAATGGAAGAAATTCCTCTTTTGTCAGGGCCAGCCTGACAGGTTGAACCGGGTTGAGGTAGGGAGGGGGGAATTGAGAAAAGAAAGAAAGACAGGAGAGCGGGATCGGGAGGACTACAGATCAATCGAGGAACTGCAGCAAGTTTATTAACCACACAATGCCTTTTATACACAAAACACTGAATAGGAGGTCTGTCAAGAGGAATGTATTCTT